GCTTGCGCTTTGGTGCCCTTGCCAACGGGACAGGCTCTGAACGGTTCTGAATGCCGCTTGGACCGGCCACCTCCGTGCCCGACTCCAAATTTGGTTCCAACTAGTGGGTCATCGCTGACCTCACAAAGTCGTCGTGGCTGAATTCAGAATACAGCAACGGTAGTCCGCTGGAGTTGGCGGCCACAGTCTATTGGCGCTCAAGCCTTTGATACCCTTTTTGATATCCTTTTCTAGGACAGGCATACGGCTGGAGATGGTGACAAAAATGACGCTCATCCCGTACAGCGCCACTCGCTCGCGGAGCTTGGAGATGAGCCAATTTTTTATCCCAACATTGTGAAGTTCTCTATTAAAAAGTGTCGTCGACAAATCGGCTTTTACTAGCAGTGATACACAAGTAAAGGATTTCGCGTGGTAATTAGCCCCGTAGCCAGTTTAATTCCTTAAGGGAAAGGGGAAGGGAGCAGCGGGACATCTCGGCCTCACTCCCAAACGCCCAAATGGGACCCCCGAGAGTGATGCAGATCCGAACTTTGGGCTCGCAGAAAAGTGAAGCGGCTTGTGGAAGGCAGCATGCTTTTTTGAACAAGCTCAGCAAAGTTTTTTATTGTCACGTTTTGTATGAGTGTCCTATAAAAAGGCTCAAATACGAGCCAAAGCCAAAATTAAGTAGTAAGTTGGGTCTTCGGCGGGACGGCTTGCCCCCAATCCTAAGAACTTTGGCAACGTCTATGAACCAGAGGTCAGGTCAGGTAAACTTTTAAGACCAGCCAAAGTCCAAGAATGAAAAATAAAAAGGACAAGGCACGGGCACATGTTTGGTTCCGAGGTGAATTATCTGGTCAATTTGCGGTGGGGTGATACAGCTCTCTATCAAACATCTCTATCTATCTTGCGCGCGCACTCCCTTGGCTTCCAACGACCGTCTAAAGCCTGCTTGGTCTCTCCTGACCTAAATCGCATGCACGCCACCGTAGTTGTAAGTAGCTTCTTTTCAGTAGCATGTAATGGTAGATATAGCATTCTGATTGCGATGTAGGCCTTATACTGCTCGGGAATATAACCAAAATAATAAGTGCATGCTCTAACCATGCTTATCTTGGTGCGGCGCTGCTTCATAAAGCAAAGAAGTGATAATCTCTCGTCTGTCAGGCCTAATGGTTTCACGGAGCACTGCGCCCCCGGTGGCGCAATGCCCGTTGCGAACGAGACGCATTACTTTACCTGTGCCTGAATACAGATGATGAGTAATTGACGAAGCATACGCCAGATTTGTCACATTTCTTTCCAAGTCAAAGCCAACAAACCACCTTTCTTGTTTACAACGTAACGTACATATTTGGACAAAAGGGCTTGAAGGTGAAATGCAAGAAGACTCCTCAGCTTTAGTGACAAAGACTCATTTAGCGCAAAAGTTGCCTTCTATGCCCCTTGTCCGTATTCACACCAGGCGTCCAACAAAATGGCATAATGGTTACAGCACAAGCTCAAACCATCTGGCAATATCATTTTACATAAAGAACTATAACTAGTATATATATGCAGCAGGGGGTGTATTATCTCGACGGGACGCGTTGCCTGCTGCATCTTAACACGCGCCCGCGTGGCCGGCTAGGCGCCCTTCGCTCGGGTAGGGGTCAATTTGACCCTCTGAGATCTCGGGAACTAAGAAAGCTAGAGACACCAAATTTACAGGATGTTTTTACCTGTATGTGGGCTTACTTAGGTCAAAGTTTGATCATGACCTTCCTAGGTCATGATCATGAAGGTCATGACCTAGATCATGACCTTCGGTCATGACCAAGGTCACACAAAATCAAATTCCAGACCGGTCTCTTAAGTGCCCCAGAAAATAGCCAACTGTTTGCAAGCAAGATGTCACAAGCCCACTTAAGGTCAGTGACCTTGTTTGACCTTTTGAAGGTCATGGTGACCAAAATCACACAAGACTGTTCTGAGTTTTGCGTTTGAATAAGCGACAAAGATTACGCTAGGCAGTATGCTCTTGAAACAAAATGTCGACCCGGGTCATCATAGGTCAATGACCTGTTCTGACATGTAAGAAGTCAATGGAATATGTATAATGCGGTTCCTGTTGTCAATAAATTCGAAATGAGTACCACAAATTATCCCTACAGCACGCCCTGGAGTAATAAATCAGGTTGGTTTTTTACCTTGGCTTGAACTTCATAACTGACCTTAGGTCAACGTAATTTGCTCATTCAATATATGTGGTGCCTAAGAAAGCATCTCAGAGATGTATGGCTTCGTCAAACACTCCGTTATTGTATCAGATTGAACGATTCCCTAGAAAATGCCTTCGCTGAAACCATGGCCTAACTTTGACCTGCCATGAGTCAGCGACCTTAAAAGGTACATCTAAATTTGTATGTCAAACGATCCACTATTCAACTGTCTACAGCTATGCAAAATTTGGCGTGGCTACACCACGCCGTTCGGAAGCCATTCTGGAAAAACCTTCGGGGGGGGGTCAATTTGACCCCCCACCCGAGCGAGTGTTAAAGCTTCTTTCTGCTTGATGATGATATCATGAAGCCGATGTTTCTTATGAGGTCGTCTTGGGTCATATTCCGACCGTTTTCTTGTATCATGTGCTCTCTTGAAACACCATCAACCAATTGTACCGTCAAGCGACTTGAGGGTATGATGATCGTACTTGAGGGTATGATGATCGTACTTGAGGGTATGATGATCGTACTTGAGGGTATGATGATCGTACTTGAGGGTATGATGATCGTACTTGAGGGTATGATGATCGTACTTGAGGGTATGATGATCGTACTTGAGGGTATGATGATCGTAGTTTGACACCAACGCAGTTTGGTTGCTTTAGGAGTTCTCAATCACTGGTGTAGCAACACAATTTGTAACCATCTTCGTACGTTTCAAAAGGTCGCAACGTCGTAAATTTGGTCGTGAGGATCTGTTTCATAATGAGTTTGGTAGCCTTTCTGCTGTTATACGAAGTGGTGATAGCCATCTCGCCATCCTGGCTGTTTGGTATGCCGCCGTCGAACATTATGTTCTTCAGAATATGGTCGCCGACCGTGTAGCTAACAGACATTTGATATTGATAGATCAGTTTGGTTTTATTTTGTTAATGCATGATGCCGTTGAGTTTTGTCTCGCATCGTTGAGTCTGATCATCATCATCTGACGTTTGATCTGTTTTGGTCATGTTATCCCGGCTTGTAAGGATGCAGCTTACCATACGCTGATGTTATTTAGGAGCTTGCGTCATATGGTTATGTTGTCGTTATTTTCGACCAGGTCACCAAATGGGCAAATTTCACAAAATTGAACAATGGCAAACGACGTGTCCAGGTGCAAGCAGGCATTGCATTTGCCAGGACCTCACCAATGATCGTGTTACGTTCACCAAACATGCTCATCACCACTATGATTTTAAAACATTTTTACATTCGACTAAGATCTATTTGATGGACGTCGTGAAGTGAATTGTTTTGTCTAGTTCTCATTTGCATTGCAATGGTGCGAAAGCACGTTCAAGCGCCTGAACTTAAAGCGATAAGGTGCACTTGTATGCTGAACTGGTGCAAGAGATATTTTAAGTCACTGATCGGTAGACATAAATAGACATAAACAACTACTTTAGTAGACTCAAATAATTACACACGTCAGCGTATTCGATGGCATGAAGCAACGGGTGGTGTGGTTTCATGAATGCATCACTATAAACGAGGAAATAGAAATATCTCCACATCACGACTATCACAACATTATGTGCTTCGCCATTTACTCACACATGTCCAGCCCTGTCATGACGGTGCCTTCGGTTCGATTCATCAGTCTGTGACTTTCGGTAAACTCCGTGAGTCCATCTTCTTGCCAGAATCCCAGAAGATTGGCAAATAAACCTTCATTCGCAACCGTTTGACCTCGAACAGCATTCGCTTCCAGCACCAGCAGAGCGAACAGGAGCAGAGTTGGGCGGGTCAGCATCACCGCCAACAGGTGCTGCAACAGGGAGGCGCGCTTTCCCGTGAGGACCAATGTGAGCACCGCTCCCAGCGAGCGCCCGGCTGTCAAGGGAGCGAGGCTGGGCCTGCTAGCGTGACAGCACGATAACACGGTCGGCCTGGTCTGTCGGGCGGGCTGGCTGGCCGCCCGACAGATCGCGGCGCCGCCTGCTGGTCCCCAGCAGGCGGCGCCGCTCGTTGTCGCCTGGAGACGGGCCCGGCTTACACCGGACCGAGCTGCGCGCGTCGATAACGCCGCGACCGATCTTTAGCTCCGCAGCACGGCACAGTCATTGAAGTGGCGTGGAAGATGTGGCGAGGTTTCCTTACACTTTTTTCAGGATATTGGTGATGTATACCACGGCGTGGAGAGACAGGCTCGATGGCAAATCCGGTGCCCCTGTTCACCTTGATCTTCTTTTTTCATAAGATTACGATGGGACTTACCGCTGGCAATTTTACAAGAGGTTGTGGTATGTCTGAAAATGGTATCAAGCACACTGAACACCGAATTATTCTCGCTTTGGATGGTCAACTATTCTAACTGCTTTGGGATTTTGTTTTCATTTGGTCATGGTATTATGTTTCTCTCGAGTCTCGTTCAAACAAGTCAGAAGTAGAAAGAACAGCGATTATTTCACCATGCTGAATGACCAATGATGCTGTGCACACACACACACACACAACACACACACACACAACCACACACACACACACACACACACACACACACACACACACACACACACACCACAACACACACACACACAGACATACACACACACAACATAACATAACACAACATACAATACATATAACCCCACACCACACACCGGCACACCACACACATTCATCACACAAACGCACATTTGCATTGCAACTCAGCAGCCACTCACACACCTCATTAAACCACCACCTCACGACACATAAGCCGAGGCGAGCCCAGGGGTTCAGCGTTATATTTGATCTAAGCCCATGGTTGAGACCACAGCACATATATTTCTTTCGAACAATTTGCATTCAACGGAAACTGAAGTATTTCAATCCGCACAGGACCAGCAAAATATCGCGTTCCGGTGATGTGATATATTGGTACTAACCATCAGCATTGGGATGTGGCAATGTTCAGGGAGTAGCCGATCTCTACATTTGAAGACTGCTGTCCACATTCACATGATGGCCGGATCAAATACGGACCTGATCTTCATGGTAGCACACACTACTCTTAACGGAACCCATCCGGTCGACAGGAATGCGCATCTGCCGCAAGCAAACGGGGAACGTTCCGAAATCGCCAGGGATCAACAGAATGCCGCGTCGCTCGCCGCAGACTGCGTCAGTCCCAACCAGCTATAGTTGGACTGACTCGAGCCAGCACGAGATCACGCCGTTGCGGCGTCCTGTTTCAGCTCCGCACCCTTCGTCACAAACGAAGAGTCTTCGTCCGGCTGCATAAACCATTTGTCGTAGGAACTGGTCAGCCGGTCACACTTCAGAATCGCGTCGTTGGGAGCCTGAAATACAGCGAGGGCGTAAATGAATGCCTCTCTTTCTCACGCCGGCCACCGCTTTTTCGACGCCCAAAACGCGACGCGCCTTACCTTGGAACTTAGACAACAGCATTAGCTTTCCCACAGCCTCAAGACAGACAAGCTAGTCAATAACAACAGCCTCACTATGTTGAGATAGAACATTTAGAGAGGGGTGTTGAACTTTGAGCAAAATGAGAGGGAAGAGAGAGAGAGAGAGAGAGAGAGAGAGAGAGAGAGAGAGAGAGAGAGAGAGAGAGAGAGAGAGAGAGAGAGAGAGAGAGAGAGAGAGAGAGAGAGAGAGGAGAGAGAGAGAGACAGAGACAGAGACAGAGACAGAGACAGAGACAGAGACAGAGACAGAGACAGAGAAGCAGAGACAGAGACAGAGACAGAGACAGAGACAGACAGAGCAGAGACAGAGACAGAGACATAGACAGAGACAGAGACAGAGACAGAGACACAGACGAGACAGAGACAGAGACGAGACAGAGACAAGACAGAGACAGAGACAGATACAGAGACAGAGACAGAGACAGAGACAGAGACAGAGACAGAGACGAGACAGAGACAGAGACAGAGACAGAGACAGAGACAGAGACAGAGACAGAGACAGAGACAGAGACGAGACAGAGACAGAGACAGACAAGACATAGACATAGACAGAGACAGAGACAAGACAAGAGAGACAGAGACAGAGACAGAGACAGAGACAGAGACAGATCAGAAGACAGAGACGAGACAGAGACAGAGACAGACAGAGACAGAGACAGAGACAGACAGAGACAGAGACAGAGACAGAGAGACGAGACAGAGACAGAGACATAGACAGAGACAGAGACAGAGACGAGACAGAGACAAGACAGAGACAGAGACAGAGACAGAGACATAGACAGAGACAAGAGCAGAGACAGAGACAGAGAACAGAGACAAAGACGAAGACAGAGACAGAGACAAGAGACAGAGACAGAAGACAGAGACAGAGACAGAGACAGAGAGACAATAGACAGAGACAGATACAAATAGACAGAGACAAGAAGACGAGAGAGAGAGAGAGGAGAGAGAGAGGAGAGAGATAGAGAGAGAGAGAGAGCGAGAGAGAGAGAGTAGATAGAGAGAGAGAGAGAGATGAGAGAGGAGAGAGTGAGGAGAGAGAGAGAGAGGAGATAGAGAGAGAGAGAGAGAGAGAGAGAGAGGGAGAGGAGAGAGAGAGAGAGAGAGAGAGAGAGAGAGAGAGAGCAATGCATCCGCGAAGCATTTAAGCAAGCTAGCAATGCGACCAAAGCGTTGCTTGCAAGCGATGTGAGCACGAATTTCATCTGCATTCCAACCACTTTTGTTAAGGCCCTCTCCTGTGTGCTTGTTCGGTGACCACCGCCTCCACGCCTTCCAGCGCCATCCCACACCGCACCTTTGGCCCCACTCACCACGTCCAGTGGCGTGTACTGGGGGTGGTGGTGCTTCCAGAGCGGGTTGTTGGAGCGCTTGTTGAACGCTGGAATGAGCACGAAGCGGCGCCAGTCCGAGTCGTTCTTAAAGGAGCGGTGCAGCAGGTTGCAGTGGAAGAAGAGAGCATCACCGGCGGCCATCTGGACGAAGCGCAGCGGGCAGACGGTGGCCAGGTGGTCCACCCGCTCCAGGTCTGCTCCAGCCTGCTCGCCGACCGTACCGTGCTCGATTCTGCCAGCCAGGTGTGAGCCCTGCAACACCTGCAGGCACAGAGATAAGTTAAAAGGACTGTAAGAACGCATTTAAGATAAAATGGTGTGGTGAAGTCATTCACTGCTACTGAGCCATCACCAGTTTTTGTATGACCTAGTAATTGCCTAAATAATAACAAATCTACTGCAGTGTAATGCCACGGTGCACTGCAGTGCAGCACTGCAAGCTATTGCAACAAATGTAATGCCACGATTTCCAAGCATGCGCGACAACTTTGTTGCCAAAAAGACGGGATTCGTCAGCGATGGGTTTGACCAGCATTCTACCTCGCACACATACAAACATTGCTGCTGGCACAAGAAGGAAACTGGCACGCAACACAGCTTAAGGCACAGCTTTGCAAACAGCGCAGTGGTGTGCAGAGTTCCCTCGGACATGGTGTCAGTTTAGGGACAGACCCTTGCTGGGATCCAAGCCTGCGCATGGATATCAGTTGTCAAAGTCAAACGTTTTCGGTTGGTGTGTGAGGCATGTGACTTTTTGCTTGTGATCAGCTCTGGGACGCAAATTTACACCCCGACAGAGGTATTTGTGCACAGACTACCCGTCTCAGAGGGACTGAAAATGATCGACGGATGTTACCCGGCAGTCAATGACCGAACAAGATGGAGTAATAGTGAACTCACCTGGTCCAGAATCACATGTCCGGACATTGTGGCAGCATATAAATCAATTCCAAACACTGCAGTTTAAACGTGCTTGTGTTGTTGGGTACCCTACCTGCAGACAGCCGTTTTCCTTGCTGCAATCGTCTATAGCGATGAACACGGAGCTCATGTCGGGAAACATGCAGCCATTTCGGTACCAGTATCTGAAATGCATCGTGAAATACTGGGTGAAAAGTAGAAGCTACAGACACTTCGCGTGTAACGCTCGGTGACGTGCGTTCCACTTGAACGCTGCACTTTACGTTCGTTCGTCACGGTAACGTTCGTTACGATTACGTTACGGCAACGTTCCACTTTAACTTCACGAAACCCCATGCATACGGTGAGTCTGACGTGATGCGCTCACCCTAAAATAAGACGCGTCACTTTTGGGAGTACGTGTGACTGCCATCGTAAGAAGCATAGGTGCAGGGAGGAAAAGCTTACTATGCAGTGAATATTCGCAGTAAAACTAGTCGCAGCAAATACATTGACAGTCAGTACATCACACGCATACGTTTTGTCCACGTTTCCGTTAAACACGAACATAAGTGACATAAGGAACGTGAAAACGACGAGTGAAGCATAAAGGCTTACAAATGACGAGTGCAAACAGTGGCCATTGAGCGTGGGTACACAATGGGTATACCTACGCTTGAATCACAAAATAGTGGCCGGATGTTTTAATCCCGCATATGAGTCATTGGCATGGCGAACGGTGTCCTCGGGTGCGGCGCTGGTGGGCTGTATCTTTTGACTCGGATGAGGGGGGCGTCCTCTCGAATAGGCCTGGTACCAGGTGGAGGTACCAGGACATGTGTACCCACCCATAGCTCTGGTGCCAGATGTGGGCCCCAGAATACTCGTCCTCACCCATAGTCCTTGTACCAGATGTGGGCACCAGAACATGCATCCTCACCCATAGGCCTGGTGCCAGATGTGCGTGCCGAATCATGCGTCCTTACCCGTAGTCCTGGTGCCAGATGTGGGCACCCCCAACTCGCCCTTTCTTCATCATAAGCTTGGTATGATAGTGGTACACTTCATCACCTCCCATCAGCTGTGAAGGGAAAACGATTGAAGATGGCGTTGAAGAATACAAATGCGATTCATCGAAATTCTTGAAACAGATAGCAAACAATTGACGTACGTGGCGGCCAAACATGACTAATCAATCAGGCGGTTGAAAGCCGCGACGGAGTAATGCAACCGGAGAGTAGCGGTAGCGGCATGAGGAGGGCGGCACTACCAATCAAAAACCACGTGCGCAAAGAAATTTCAACATATGTTGAATGTATGGTGTGTGCTGGTTTACACTCTGCACCTACTTTGCTTTCGACACGCTGGTTAGACCGTTCCAGTAGTAGTACAGCCTGACGCAACCCGATAAAACATGAATCATTGTGCAACTGGACGCTTGAAAGTGTTTCAGTGTCGCCAAACACAGAGATGCTGTTGCATATGGTTGTCGTATTTGATTCAACGCAGTTGCACAATGATGTAACTGTTTTGCCGCCCTTACAAAATACGGCCGGCAAAGGACTCGGAAACTGACATCACGTTGACGGCAGCTTCGCTGATCCCATCATCATCGTCATGCTGTCCGGTTGCCGCACCTCCTGCGCCGTGCGGGCCACCTTCCTGGTGCGTGCCACGGTGCCCAGGATGTCATCTCCTGGGTGGTTCCACAGCACAAAGGTGCTCTTTCTGCCCCCGTCGTCCTCGCGGCCGATCGAGTTCCTCTCCACATCCGGACAGGCGGAGATCGCGTAGTTTATTTTCCCCAGCTCCTTGGCTGAGAAGAGGTCCCTGTACGGGAACAGTGTAGACATAAGAGCGCGGGCGGCCTAGAATGTGGCTTCATGCGACTGGCTAGCGAAAGCGGGTTTAAGCAGGGTGGGGCGCCCGTCTCTCTGGCTACGTCCCTGAATTCTATCGCCTCTTGCTAAGCACCTCAAAGGCGCCCATAAATGCGGAAGTAGATTTAATCATGACGTCGAGCAGCCTCACCGCCATTCGCTTTGTTTCTCCTACTAAATATACTCCTCACTGCATTCCACTTATCTTGATCCTGCAGCACAATAACAAATAATTTTGGTGATGAATTAAAGCGCCAATAAAATTCGGCAAGATTTACAGACTACGGATTTCCCTGCCCTCCAAATTACGCTGCAGATGTGGCCCGGTAGGTGACTTGACATCCTGCGGAGGTGACCTACCTGATCAGAACGAAGCCATTCTTGAGATAGCTTTCCTTCATAGCTGGGGTTATTTCGAGCTCCTCCCCCTCAGTATAACAGAACACCGCGCCGTCTGGCGGTGCATCATTTTCGTGTCCTGCGGGAAAAGGGAAATCGGTTGTCACATGAATAAACACGCATCAACGTGGACACATGTGACACACGTGCACGCGGCACACGCTTTCACTAAAAAGCACGAACAATAAAAAAATAAAGAGCCGCCTGACATGAATCAATACTTTAAAGGCTGCAAATGCTTACTTAAAATGGAACTATGATTGTTCCCCAAAAGCGTAGGTACAAAACACATGAGAGAGCACTCTGTATGTTGGCTGTCGTGCTGCTGTTGTTCTGTTTTACTGGACGAGGTACAATGTTGGCAATATAATTCGCAGTCATAAGGAGCAAGCGTAAGCAGAATGGGAGGACCACCACATCGCCACCGCGTCGTGTACTGTTGTGTAGGTCAGAGACGAAGTCAGTCGCAGATGGTCCTCGGCCGGTTCAGTTCAGGGAACGGTCGAGTCGGAAACCGGAAAAGTAATATTAAATTTTGGAACCGCAAAGGAGCTCAAAACAGAACGGATTCTTGCAACATCGTGGAAGACAACTACGTTTCGGAGAACAAACGTTGGATCATCCGGGTCAAAAAGCCCATGCAGAGTGGCGATGGCCACCGCAACGATGTCCAGTATAGTGCAGCGATGAGTTCCTTCTTAACGTGACCCGCTTCCTCACAAACTGACGTGCCGGATACTGTCGGATGATTTTATCCTTTCTCAAATCAGCGCCGTTTGCGCGTCGCAATCCACAGCACGCACAGGAGCGTGATTCCCACCTCTGCAACACGGTCTGCCACTCGTCCGCACACGTGAGGGGTTTGGCCCTCTATCCCCAAACGGGTAGAGCCAGTTGGTCTGAGCCGCTTGAAACCGTCCACCAGTTCGATGAGAATATTCTTGTTAAAATATCCCGCATATGTGACAGCAAAAGTCTCTTCTGTTGCCCAATTTTGCACATAATGCAGCTGAGCGCGCTTTCCTTTGCATACGGGGTGCGCAAGGGGTGTGCTCTCTTCGTCACTCATCCAGTGCATGTCAGATTACTTGGCCAAGATGGTTTTCGCTTTCTCGGATTACACCTTTTGTCGCACATGCTTCGCACTTATGGCTGCCAAAAGCTCTGGCGTTTTTTTCCGTGGTCAGGTGTATGATTTTTTCGTTGGCATTGAATGCTCGGTTTGCCCGGTTTGTAATGCTGTGCTTATTGACATTGTCACATTTTTTCATAATGCCAAACTATTCTTGTCAAGTTTCGGCATTATCTACAAAACAGCGACTGACATCTTTCATATTGGCTATCGCCTCGCTCATCCCCGCCGGACGAGGCGTCATATTGGTTTATATTTTATTTTTGTAATGTGCATTTATTTCTGCTCTAAATTAAACAGCACTATTATGGACAGATAGGGCAGACCTGGTACCATGAATCAGGGGCGTCCAGAGTGTGGAGGAAAGCTAGGGCTGGCACATCGTTTCGGATAAAATGGATTTTGGCTATAACTTGTGAGTGTAAGGCATGCAAAGTAATGCACATCGAACGTGTCAGCGGTGGTGACATAAACCGGAGCTCAATGCCTGAAATATCAGCACAGGTCAGTCTGGGGACGGTAGAGGCGGGAGAGACACTGCACATCGTTAAGTAAAGTTGAAATTAAGCCTCGTATTACTACGAGGCGTATTATTAACTTCAACTTTTTTCTGTGATGCATGGTATGTGGTATGCATTACGTGGTATGCATGATGTGCATGATGTACGTCCGTACATGGAAAGTTACCTTGAAATCACGTTGCTCCGCGCCTCAGAAGAACAGACGTTACAAGCTCAGCCCAATCAGCGGTAAGTGCAGTGACTATTCACATTTGCGAAGCGCTACTAAAGCTATGCTTTGCCTATCGTCAAAACATAGTAACGTTCTCAAAATCTAATGACCAGAATACGAGCACTTTTTTGGAGGGGGCCCCAAACTCTAGGGAGTGCCACAAAATTGCAGGAACCCCCCCCCCCCCCCCACCCTTTACGAAATCCCAGATCCGCCATTGTTCTAGATCGACATTATCGTCCAGATAAACAAGCACATTCAGCTGGCCTTGTAGAGGCCCTCATGCCAGGCGACATCTCGACCGAGCTCAGTGCGTGATCCTCATAACGTGAACTTTGAACAGCACTGAATTTCCACGGAAATGCAGGCCCCAGGCACCTGTGCAATATTGTCGATTGGCCAACTAGGGCCGTTCCCCATGGAAATTGTAACACATTGTTCGGATTTTTACCTTTCTATTCTGAGACATTCCGCATGGTGGGTATCGCGCAGCAAGGTCTAACTGCTCGTTGTATATCCTTTTGGTCGCCAATGCTCTTTTAGAGCCATCTCTTAGAATTCCTTTTGGTTTCATCCGTCCTATAGAGACGGGTTTCTTGAATCGCATGCAGCCAAACAAGAGCCAGTGGTGACGTGACTTTGCTACAGTGGAATGCGTCGGCACATATGTTCAGGGCTTTTTATCACAACCACATGCATGCAGTTTACACAAAAATAAGTCATTGCAGCCCAGACAAAATGAAACTGTTAGAGTCCGTCAAAATAATACGATGTTTTAGATCACAGCCATGGTGCTTGTGAAATAACGCGCTGCAACACGAAAATCTAAGACCTAGACTGCGCCTTCAGCTCCTGCGGTCAGTTACACAATTGCCACGATAGACGGAATCGTGGACGGATAAACGAACGGATCTCAGTCACACAGGACCTTACTTGTACAGGATATCAGTGACACTGACCTGCCATGGTGCCGCCGTCACCCCGCACAGACCGTGTGCCCCGTATCGCCTGTGTAACTGCAAGACTGGGGTGGGTCGAGAGCGATACGGGCACGATGCACTGCCGATGAGAGTATGGCCTTGAATACGTAGGAGGCAGAGAAGCAGGAGCAGGGGCGGCGCAGCGGGGGGGGGGGGGGGGAGGGAGGGGGCAGATAAGCAGTTGCTTCCACCCCTACTGGCAGGTAGGTGGGCAAGAGAATGTTTTTGCCCCCTCAAAATTTTGAGCAGGTCCCTTGTCTTGCGCAGCGTTTTTTTAAGGAATGTGTTACCGTTGATCATATAAATTCTATCGAAACAAGTCATCCTTTCTACTTAGTTTGAGAATGATGGAGCCGAAATCCGACGTGGAGAAATAATAACTTCTAATTAGTTTGAGAATGACGAAGCCGAAATCCGGTGTGGAGAAATACTGAGAGAGGATAGGGGGTGTGAGATCATGTTTCGCCTACCTCCCGCAGACTTTCAGACACCCCTGTCCTCAAGCAAACATGGGCCGACTTTTTCATAATCGATCTAATTTTGGTCCAAAGGGCAAGAATCCACAAGCCCCGTGGGTAGAATACTAGGGAGCACATTATCGTTCCCGGCCAAGCGTAAAGGATGATTTCGTTCTAGCGCAAGGTACCTGCCGTCTGCCATTCTGGCGACACAGTGTGGGTGCCCGTGTCAGAGGCAAGAAGATCCCTCCGCGCCGCAATAGGTCCGATAACTGGCACAGATACTCAAGTTTGGGCCTCTGCCTGAAATGGGATCAGGCCTCACGTTTAGTACTGGGGAGCCTGACTGACGCAAGGTTCTTCCATTGTTCCATTGGGGTCTCTCCTCGTAAGATCTGATATGACCTTCCATTGTCAGTATCGGAGGGCGAAGACCAACGAAAGAGGCGGCCTGACATTCGGGGTGCCGTTCCCGTCCCTGTTCAACAAATATCCCCATGGCCGAATTGGGATCCTTCCCCGCACCCCCTTCCCCCCCCCCCTCCCTAGGCACTGCAGGCCCCTGGGCGACGCAGTGGACCAGGGGCGCAGCTAGAGCTCTGGTATGGGGGAGGAACAGGGTTGACAAAAGGGCCCCCTGATGGAAAAAGGCCCCCCAAAAAGGAATTCGCCGAGCATGACCCCTTTGTTTTTAGGACATGTTTTTTGGCATATATACATATATATATATATATATATATATATATATATATATATATAACACATTTTTATCTCCTGCAACTGAAATATAGGCCAGATGCTACCGCGAGATCAATTCTGCTTTAAATAAATGGTAAACAATCTGACAAAGCCACGAGTTAAATGACTGCATGAAGTAAATCGCCGGCGCCCTTCATTTTAGAGTAGTCCAGTAAACTTTTTTTAAACCAAAAAACTCAGAACTTTGTCAAATTTTTATCTGAGTTGCACAGAAAAAGCAAGCATTCCACGAACGTAGATAAGAGACAAAAATGGCTCAGCAAGCTGTGTTAACATAGCGAAGCCATGTTTGTCTGGATACTTTCAACATTTAGTAATAACTTCATGTGTTGCAAATTAAGTAACGTAGTTTTAAGCTTTGGTGCTCGCGTATCTAAAAAAAACTCGACACCAGGCGGTGCAGTCTCCTTGGGCCGTGCAGCGTCGACCCCGTGAGTGGATATTTCGGAATACATATCACCCATGTGTTTTTAGATTGGTGGAAACAACGTATTGGTCATTACAGCACTGCGAAGTGGTGCTGGAACCTGGTTGTGAAACTCAAGAGTGAAGGCAAAATTTGCATTTGTCGTGTTGCTTGCTGTAACTGCTAATCTGTCCGAAGGACATCATCAAAGTCTTAAAAGAATATTCGCGTAGTGTAATCCTTGAACTGTACGAATTAATTTTGAGAATAAAAAAACATTAAGGAAAATTATTTTCCTTTGGTCATTGTTGCACGCTCAGCGCCCGCCCTCGGGCGTTGCTTGCAGTGTCCAGCGACGCTCGGCTTCACGAAAACGGCGATCCAAACCATCACTGTCCTTGCTTCCCGAGATTATGGCTGTGTCATTGGGGCTTCATGACGCACTCAGCTGCTGGGGCTATGTGGCGCCGCCAGCCTCTTACCCTGGCGGAAACGGAGGGCTTTGAGGGGAATCGAACCCCAAACCTGAGGTTTCCCGGACGCGCAGTGGTTAACATAGGCGTATGAACCACTACACCATCGGCATTCGACGCGCAGGCTCAAATATTTTGGTGGCATTTGTTTCGCTAGTCGATTCCGTAAAATTTGAACGCTATCAGGGAAAGATGGGATGACCCTGTGCGTTTTGAACTAATTTTGACCCACTCTATTCAGCGCTAATGAAGCCCCTGACTTCTTTCCGGTACTCGGGCCCCTTGAATACAACACTACGGGGCACATTTTTGCCCCCAGTGAAGAGCTGAAGGGGAATTATGTCACCACCTCACTGATTTTTTAATAGTTCTTCTTTGCATATTTGAGGCGGGGTTAAGTGGTTTGATTTTAGAAACAATTGCATTTTACTCTTACTTACTCACCATAACCATAACGTTAACCATAAAACCATAGCGTTCAACCGCTTCAATGTATTGCTTTGATAAGTTTCAGGAATAAGAAGTTACATAGCAAATGGCAATTGTGTTTGATTGGCAATGATGCAGAAAACACGAACCATATCACTTGGCGAAATACTCTGCAGTTGGCTTCTGCAAGTCCAACGAGCCAGTGGCGGAATACTCCCTGAAAGCAATTTTGGTACAGGTTGTAAGACCAAACAAGAGAGAGAGAGAGAGAGAGAGAGAGAAGAGAGAGAGATAGAGAGAGAGAGAGAGAGAGATAGAGAGAGAGAGAGAGAATAGAGAGACGAAGAGAGACGGAGAGGAGAGAGAGAGAGAGAGAAGAGAGAGAGAGCAGAGAGAGAGAGGAGAGAGGAGAAGAGAGAGAGAGAGAGTAGAGACAGGAGAGACGTAGAGAGAGAGAGAGAGAGAGAGAGAGAGAGAGAGAGACCAAGAACTGTCGGTCCTGCACACAGGTGCGGACCGAGCACAGCCGGTATCGAGGACAGGCAGACCGAGCACGCCGGAATGCAGGCAGGTACGGCCAGACACCAAGCAAGACGACCGACCAAGCTTGGCCGGCCACGTGGACAGGTACACACCGAGCACAGTGGAAAGTGGTTAGGCACTGACCTAGCACGGTGCATCTGGCGCATCCAGCGCAACAAAATTATCTGCAGCAGACAACAGACTCGTCACGTTCGCCACTTACTCGCACCACCGGTGACGGCACAACCACGGGGTGCGACGACGTGCAAGATCAAGTGCATTGCAATGGCTTGGTGTTAAAAGCTGCCACGTACATCATCATACTCATCACTAAATTTTACGCAGTCGGTTCCTTGGTCATATGCGTATATCACCAACAGTTTGCTTGTTATCGGTACGAACACAGCCTTCCGTCCATTCTGGGGCGAAAAGTCTCGTGTGTACGTCTTCATTTTTCGGGCCATTGCTTTTCAATGGTTTGATGCACAGGCTTTCCCAGCATAACATCATGTCTGCCGTAAAACTCTACGCAATCAGCTCGCTGGTCGTATGCATCTTCCGCTGAGCCGCCTATTGAAGTCTAGACACCAGTGACGTCACGCTGATGCTAAGCGAAGATGAAGTGAGAATCAGCGGACGGTTTTACCTCCCTCTTGGCGTTGGGTTGGTCTGTTTGGATCGGTTGTCACCGTGACGCGGCTGGGAGGGCCGGTGAGTGTCAGTGGGGTGTGGGGGTGGGGAGTTGTTAATTATTTGCGTTCTGTGGCACGTATCCCACGTATGATACCTGTACAGGTACTTTTCCCTCGAATTCCCTCAATGTTTCGTCTCGTACTCTCTCGTGAGGGCTTTTAGGTACCCACTTCCCTAGGATTGGTGTGAAGCCGGCGCCTATGATACAGCCTAGTGGGTAGCATCACTCAACAAATACAGAACATTGGGGTGATGGATTTATTTAATGCTTTTGAAACACTGCCAGCTCCATTTATAGGAAAAGGGAGAAGAGTGTCCTGAGCATCGTACTGCCCAAAGCATTGTCCTGAGCTTCATACTGCCCAAAGCAGTGTCCTGAGCATCATACTGCCCAAAGCATTGTCCTGAGCATTGTACTGTACCATACTGCCCATGCACTACTGCCCATACCCCAGGGGTATGGGTAGTAGTACATCTAAGGTTCCATGGCATCTAGGTCTGAGGGTTTTCTTCAAGTACTTCACCTTTTTTAGAAGAAGAAAAATCTCCACCGCGAGCGTTTTACGCGCAGTGCGGCACGGGCTCAACCAGCTCGCGTTAGCAGGATTGCCCGACTTTGAAATCATACAATCCAAACGACATCTTTAGCACCAAAAGTAATGAGCAGGCAATTAACACCATTCACTACGTCGTTTCGACCACTGCTACTCACAATGCTCGCATGATTGCCTATCATCTTCAAGAAATAACCATCTGATAATATAATAATTTCGGCCACAAACAGGTCATATGATTTTTAACACGCAGACAGCCGACGATTTATAGCATGTACTAAAAGGGCAACATAAGCACCAAATTACGTACATTCGAGCAATCAAGAAATTATCCCAGTTCTTCACATTCGTGTCTCGAGTTGATGTTTCCAAACAGACAGCACAGAGAAAAACCCAACAATGTCGGCGGAAATGAAGCATTTCCAGCATTCTTAAAAAACGGATCAAGCCACGGGAACCAAACACCGAAGCCAAGCCAACGTTTTCGGTGCGGTACATTGACGTCTATTAGCGCAGTGCATCTCATACACGAGTCCGGATAATGTGATTCACACTTATTAGGACCAAACACATCGTGACGACATTGTCGCTTAACCTACAACACTTGGGTTCAATTAATATGACTACTCCGTTGCCGTGACATGCTGCAATCATGTGCAGAGGGACTGTCGTAGTACCCTCTTAAAGTAGTGCACCTCCTGTACAATTCCAACGAGCAAGGCTTGAAATCGCTCTGACATCCAGAGACATACTCTGCCGAGATCATATGCCAACAGCCACCCTAAGGAAACGGATCAAGCCTCGGGAAACGAAGACTGAAGCAAGGCCAGCGCTTTCGGTACGGTACATATACGTCTGTTAGCGTAGTGCACCTCACACACGAGTCCGGATAGTGCAATTCACACCTTTAGAACTGAACACGTCGTGCTGACAATGTCGACGGAACTGCAAGACTTCGGTCCGATGAATAAGACTCATGCATTGCCGTGAGATGCTGCAATCATGTCGTGCAGAGGGACTGTCGTAGCACCCTCTTAAAGTAGTGCACCTCTTGCACAATTCCAACGAGCAAGGCTTGAAATCGCTCTGACATCAAGAGACATACTCTGCCGAGATATTATGCCAACAGCCACCCTACGGAAACGGATCACGCCCCGGGAAATGAGGACTGAAGCAAGGCCAGCGTTTTCGGTACGGTACATATACGTCTATTAGCGTAGTGCACCTTATACACGAGTCCGGATCATGCGATTCACACTTATTAGGACCAAACACATCTTGCTGACGATGTCGGTGGATATGCCAGACCACGGTCCGATGAATAAGACTCATGCATTGCCGTCAGATGTTGCCATCATTGGCGGACGGACTGCAGTAGCACCCTCTTCAAGTAGTACACCTCTTGTATAATTCCAATTGGCGAGACCTAAAAACCACTCTGACATCCAAAGACGTTCTCTGCCGAGATAATATGCCAACAGCCACGCTAAGCAAACGGACCAAGCCCCGGGAAACGAAGACTGAAGCAAGGCCAGCGTTTTCGGCACGGTACATATACGTCTGTTAGCGTAGTGCACCTCACGCGAGTCCGGATCATGCGATTCACACTTATTAGGACTAAACACATATTGCTGACGATGTCGGTGGATATGAAAGACTTTGGTCCGATGAATGAGACTCATGCATTATCGTCGGATTTTGCCGTCATTGGCGGACGGACCGCAGTAGCACACTCTTCAAGTAGTACACCTCTTGTATAATTCCAATTGGCGAGACCTAGAAACCGCTCTGACATCCAAAGACGTACTCTGCCGAGATAATATGCCAACAGCCACCCTAAGGAAACGGACCAAGCCCAGGGAAACGAAGGCTGAAGCAAGGCCAGCGTTTTTGGTACGGTACATATACGTCTGTTAGCGTAGTGCACCTCACACACGAGTCCGGACAATGCGATTCACACTTATTAGAACTAAACACGTCGTGCTGACAATGTCGATGGAAATGCAAGACGTCGGTCCGATGAATAAGACTCATGCATTGCCGTGAGATGCCGCCATCATGTCGTGCAGAGGGACTGTCGTAGCACCCTCTTAAAGTAGTGCACCTCTTGTACAATTCCAGTGAGCAAGGCCCGAAATCGCTCTGACATCCAGAGACATACTCTGCCGAGATGATATGCCAACAGCCACCCTAAGAAAACGGACCAAGCCCCGGGAAACGAAGACTGAAGCAAGGCCAGCGTTTTCGGTACGGTACATATACGTCTGTTAGCGTAGTGCACCTCATACACGAGTCCGGATCATGCGATTCACACTTATTAGGACCAAACACATCTTGCTGATGATGTCGGTGGATATGCAAGACTTCGGTCCGATGGATAAGACTCATGCATTGCCGTCAGACGTTGCCATCATTGGCGGACGGACTGCAGTAGCACCCTCTTCAAGTAGTACACCTCTTGTATAATTCCAATTGGCGAGACCTAGAAACCACTCTGACATCCAAAGACGTACTCTGCCGAGATAATATGCCAACAGCCACGCTAAGCAAACGGACCAAGCCCTGGGAAACGAAGACTGAAGCAGGGCCAGCGTTTTCGGTACGGTACATATACGTCTGTTAGCGTAGTGCACCTCACACACGAGTCCGGATCATGCGATTCACACTTATTAGGACTAAACACATCTTGCTGACGATGGTATAAGGTACGCTGCGCTTATAAATATATATGTACCGTACCGAAAACGTTGGCCTCGCTTCGGTCTTCGGTTTCCGGGGCTTGGTCCGTTCTCTTAGAATTGCTGTTGACACGTTATTTCGGTACAGTGTGTCTTTGGATGACAAAGCCGTCTTAGGTCTCGCCAACGAATTATGCAAGAGGCGCACTACTTTAAGAAGGTGCTACTACAGTCTGTCCGCACATGATGGTGACATCCCACGACAGTGCATGAGTCTTATTCATTGAATCAAACCATTGCAGCTCAGCCGACATTGTCGGCACAATGTGTTTATTTCTACTTAGTGTGAATCGCGTTGTAAGGGCTCTTGTTTCAGGTGCACCGCACGACTAAACGTATATGTACCGTACCTAAACCGTTGCCTTTGTTTCGGTCCTCGGTTCCCGGGGCTTGGCTTTGTTCCTCAGGGTTCGTGTCGGGATGTTATCTCGGCGGGGTGTGTCTTTGCCTTTCAGAGTGGTTTTTAGGTCTCGCCAATCGGAATTATACAAGAGGTGTACTACTTTAAGAGGGTACTACTACAGCCTGTCCGCACATGATGGCAGCATCTCACGGCAATGCATCAGTCTTATTCATCGGACCGAAGTCTCGCAGTTCCACCGTCATTGTCAGCACGATGTGTTTAATTTCCATAAGTGTGAATCGCCTGATCCGGACTCGTGCATGAGGTGCACTGCGCTAATAGACGCATATGTGCCGTACCGAAAACGCTGGCCTAGCTTCAGTCTTCGGTTCCAAGGCTTGGTCCGTATCCTTAGGATTTTTATTGGCATATTATCTCGGTAGAGAATGTCTTTGGATGCCAGAGCGGTTTTTAGGTCCCGCCAATTGGCATTATACCAGAGGTGTACTACTTGAAGAGGGTGTTACTGCAGTCCGTCCGCCAATGATGGCAACATCTGACGGCAATGCATGAGTCTTATTCATCGGACCGTGGTCTGGCATATCCACCGACATCGTCAGCAAGATGTGTTTGGTCCTAGTAAGTGTGAATCGCATGATCCGGACTCGTCTGTAAGGTGCACTGCGCTAATAGACGTATATGTACCGTACCGAAACGCTGGCCTTGCTTCAGTCTTCTTTCCCGGGGCTTGATCCGTTTCCTTAGGGTGGCTGTTGGCATAATATCTCGGCAGAGTATGTCTCTGGATGTCAGAGCGATTTCAAGCCTTGCTCGTTGGAATTGTGCAAGAGGTGCACTACTTTAAGAGGGTGCTACGACAGTCCCTCTGCACGACATGATGGCAGCATGTCACGGCAAACGGAGTAGTCATATTAATTGAATCCAAGTGTTGTAGTTTAAGCGACAATGTCGTCACGATGTGTTTGGTCCTAATAAGTGTGAATCACATTATCCGGACTCGTGTATGAGATGCACTGCGCTAATAGACGTCAATGTACCGCACCGAAAACGTTGGCTTGGCTTCGGTGTTTGGTTCCCGTGGCTTGGTCCGTTTTTTAAGACTGCTGGAAATGCTTCAGTTCCGCCGACATTGTTGGGTTTTTCTCTGTGCTGTCTGTTTGGAAATATCAATTCGAGACACGAATGTGAAGAACTGGGATACTTTTCTTAATTGCTCGAATGTACGTAATTTGGTGCTTATGTTGCCCTTTTAGTACATGCTATAAATCGTCGGCTGTCTGCGTATTAAAAATCATTTGACCTGTTTGTGGCCGAAATTATTGTATTATCAGATGGTTATTTCTTGAAGATGATAGGCAATCATGCGAGCATTGTGAGTAGCAGTGGTCGAAACGACGTAGTGTGTAATGTTAATTGCCTGCTCCTTATTTTTGGTGCTAAAGATGTCGTTTGGATTGTATGATTTCAAAGTTGGGCAATCCTGCTAACGCGAGCTGGTTGAGCCCGTGCCGCACTGCGCGTAAAACGCTCGCGGTGCAGATTTTTCTTCTTCTAAAAAAGGTGAAGTACTTGAAGAATACCGGTCTGAGCAAATCATGTGCAGTTACACTCACACAAAACATGCAGGAGTTTGCAGTGGTTGGGAGAGCATAACCTGAAACACATGGCTGGAAACCAAACTTAGATTGCCACAGATACTCAACATGTGACATGACAATAAACAACATGAAATGTTCATTATGTTTGCTTAATTGGTGTTATTTTAATACTTAACTTTGTTATAGTTCCAACTATTTTTCTTGCTTTTAGTAATGCATGCCATAACTTTTATAATGTGGAGCATTTACCCCAGGGCTGTATTAGGATTCTCTATTTTCTACCCTGTTGTCCAACAATCATACATTTATGACCTAATATTTAAAGGTGCCATGATCAAGCTTGGCATTCATTGCTTCACCAGCAAATCTCATGGCTAATGAATACACTTTGTTATCAGGGAATCAGCCTATGGAAGGTCAGTATAGGTTTGCAAAATGAGTTTGAATTATGGTGGGTGTGAACAGTGAAAACTATGTAATGTACCCCTGTTTCTATTTTGGAAAGTAAGTTTCTCCATGGATTTTGCTCATTTTTATTCAAAGCTGGGGATGCAGGGCAGGAGCTGCCTGAAATGAAAAGGAAGCCACACCCTTGTTCCATAATACTTAACACTTCATGATCTGTCAAACTGAATGTTCTTTTTAAGATCAATGGTTCTGGGTCCATTGAAAATGTATATCCATCTACTTGATTTTTCTAAACCAGAAAAATAACTTCTAAGCTTACAGGTGTAATGACTCAAACCTGGGCCTCTTGTTACAGTACCCACACATCTAACTAAGCATGTGTTTTGATTGTTGAGAATAGATATGATCTTGAGTCTTAGAAGAGCTGACATATGTGTTGCTGAAGACCTGCAGACCAATCAATGAGCAGATATCAGAGGAGGAAGAGGAGTTGAGAGCACATTCTTTGCATTTACTATCATGTACTTTGCACCTACTTTGGGAGCTTGCTGCTTGTGGAACAGAGCCTATATTAATTCTGTTCTGACTGAGAGACCGTGAAAAGAGGATGCAATAGTCTGGCATCCATGCAATGATCTGCCTTAGATGGCCTTAGTTAAGCAAAAGATGACACATTTCCAAACTTTCATAGACATTGTCAGCATCATCAAATCAAGTCATTAAGTTTGATTCAGCACCAAATCAAGTCATCAAGCTTGATTCAGCATCAAATCACAGTCATCAAATTATAGTAATCAAATCACCATTGAATGAAATGTTTTAGAACTTAATTGACTTCAGTGCTGCAAATGCTGAAAATTGTTCATCAAAACTATGTTTGTGGATATTCAGAGGCAACCAGGGCTCAGTGGAGAGATGACTATACCATGACACTGGTCTGGCCAGTGCCCTTTAAGGTCTCCCTTACAGAATTGATTGGAAGAGCTGAACATCCTCATTAATCTGTTATGCATATGGTTTCAATAGAATCCAGTACAAACAATTATTCATACTAGCAGATAGTTATTCACCCTGGCAGAAAGCCATTGCACACATGAAGGTGAAGTGAAATGGTTAAAATATTCTATGAATGAGCAGGTCAGACCGCACATACCATGCGTCCATGTCACCAGTGGCATTAGTTGCTATCTGGCCAAATCTCATAGGATACACCATATTCAATTTTTTATAGATTTCTATCATCAGAACATAATATTAGAAATGTTCTTACATCCTGTTGCAGGATTCTGACTGGAAATGACTGGGTTCATTGCTTTCAGGTGGAAGCAATACTATGCATCATGATCTCAGAGATAATAGCAGGAGTAATGGTCTCATATGCAGCATGCTCTATGGTGTTGCTCTTTTTCCCTGGTCTACTGCACAAGAAAAAACAGCCAGCTTTTATGTGTCAACACATCAGCCATAGGGGAGGTAAGACTGCTATGAGTATTTTTTAAGCATCATGTACCTGTGTATATCAGACATGTAACTGGATCCCAAGTATAGATTTAGAATCCCATAAACTTCCACGTTTATAGGATCCTAGGACCGGGTCTGGTGTCTGCAGTGCTCCGGAAGTGCATTAAGACAAAAAAGCAAAGGTGGGGATGAGTAGCCCAGTACATGTTCCGCAGCTTTTGCTTCTGTCATGCTTAGTTAACTTCCATGGTTAGTTGGTTAGGCATAATCAAGCAAGGCGATGGAACTGCCCTGCGCTACTATGGACTCTGAATGTTTAGTTGAATATTTTGAAAGTGAAGATATTTGCATGCTGCCAAACTGCCAAAAACGTGATGTCGGGCGCCGTCATATTTTTCGCGAGCTTCTTTTACTCACCGGCAGGGTTCAGCTCAGGGCTCAGCCCAGGGTGGGAGACTGGGTTTAGCTCACCATGTGACGTGGCAGGAAGCTGAATTGTTTAGGTCGAGTGCACCAGGGATGTAGATCCCAGTGGTTTTGGAGGCACAAGACAAAATTTGATGGGGATTGTGTGCCTTTAGTTCAGAGTAAAAGGGTACAAACAACAAAACCAGATGGTGACAGGGAAGTCCTTAGTGATGCATGCTTTCTAATGCTTCAGGACAGATGATGTGCCTTGAGTAAGGTGTGCTTCACTGTGTTTGAGGTGTGCTTACTGCTGGCACACTTGGTGCATCTAGTGGCTGGGGCTTACTATTTCTGTTTGTGGAGTGGTTGCAAAAGCCTTATGTCTGCCTTATTTTCCAGGTGCGGGGGAACGCACAGAAAACACGTTGACTGCGTTTGAATAGTAAGTGTACTATCCATTCTGTTATTTAGTTGCAAGCAAGCCATGGAAAGTACAAGCATGTCATGGAATGTCATTATGTACTCGGGTTATGCTGCGCCCGATGTCTGCAGCGACGGGCCTTCCATAACGCCTTCCATAAGCTCAGGCTGTTCCACCGCCGTATGCAGTATGTCGAGGTCTCGTGTGCGATGTGCACTCATTACGACACCATGACAATCACCGAATTACTGCAAACGGACGCAGAGCAATGGACCAGATAGTGACCGCAAACACATGAGAATAACACCACCCCGATTATCAGATGATGCCCCGCCGCCCTTCTGACATAAGTGCACGCGCCGCTTTCGGCTGGCAGCGCGGTGAAGGAGTGCGGCACGGACATGCTGGAGCTGGACTGTCAGCTGACGCGAGACGGCCGGGTGGTGGTGGCGCACGACTCGGACCTGCGGCGCGCCGGCCGGCCGGGCGTCACCTTCCCCGAGCTGGACTACGACGAGCTGCCGCCGCTGCTGCACCAGCTGCCGCTCGACTTCGTGCCCGGTGAGCGGACGCCGGCGGCGTGGGGCGGAGGACCGCACCGCTGGCGGCCGGCCAAGGGCGGCGGCGGCCCTGCGGCGCACCTCCAGGTCGCGGGCCACGGGACGCCAGCGCCAGCTGCTGGATTGGGGTGGTGCAGGGGACTCTGATGGGGAGGGGGGATGAGGGTGGTTATGGTGGTCGGTACGATGCATTCTTTAGGCGATACGCACGCCACAGCATTGATGCCGCCGGCATGGCCGTCCGGCGATTAACAGCGAATGCATTGGGGATGACATCGGCCCGTAAAAAGGCCGCGACGAGCCAATAACTTTCGATGGATATTTCGCGCGCAGATCCAAGCCGTGTGGCGGCCGAAGACCTCACCACTACACGAAGGTGTACCGGGGCCGGGTGGTGCAGCCGCTCGCCGGACCGGCAGCCCCTGTGACCCGGCTGCCTGACCCCGCCTGCCAGGTCGGGTGTTCGACGCCTCGGGTTGGCCGGACCGGCGCATGCCGCTGCTGCGACACGTGTTCCAGCGCTTCCCCGACACGCCCATCAACGTCGACATCAAGGTGGACAGCGACCGGCTGATCGCGTCCGTCGGCCAGATGGTGTCTGAGTTCGGACGGCAGCGGCTGACCGTTTGGGGAAACCGCTCCGCCACCGTCACCAGCAAGTGCTACAAACAGGTGACCCACGGCACGCGGACGCTGCAGCTCGAACTGACGTTCGACGACTGACGACGACTAACGTGCTGAGGCACGGCCACTGGCGAAAGGCACAGGGTGTCGTCGAAATGCCTTTGTACGGCATATGTGCGAAGGTACCTGCACCCGTACCTCTATCGTCATATATTTCGTTGTTTTCATTACGAGCACAGCTACGTTTGCTGACGATATCATCTCAGTCACTCTGAACAACACAATGAACGTATTCACTCGTGCTTGTCATATGTAAGCGCTCCCTCGCTTCTGTGAGAGTCCGAACATGTGTGTGCTTGCAAGCATGCATCCGTGGGTCGGTAATCTGGACAAAATTAATTGGACGACCCAAATGGTCACCTCCATCACCTAAATGCAGATCATGTTCTTTCTGGATTTTTTATTCGTGTATCTGGCGACTAAATTAGCATTAAGATGAACGACTTCGTTAAGTCGGTGGTGAAAGTGTCCATATTGGTGGCAATAATCCAATCGGTGGTGAAATGTTCACGTTGGACGTGACTCATCCAATTTTGTGGTATGGGTTCATTTTGGTTAGATGCAGTTTGTTTTGGTGACCAGTCAAAAGGCAATCCCCGACATTGATTGAGGTACCCTGCCTGTTTCAGGACCCGAGCATCCCGCTGCTCTGCTCAGCAAGCTGTGTTGTCAAGATTGTATTATCTGCTTACGTGGGCCTGTTGCCGTTCCTTCCGCTGAGGGAGACGTTCTTCGAAGTGCCCATGCCGAGCATACTGTACCGGTGAGTGGCGATAGCAGAAACACCGTGAACGGTGACTCGCTCGTGACCCGGTCATGCACAGCGGCGGCTTGCTTGCGACCCCGGTCATGCGCAGCAGGATGTGCCCATGGGCGCCTGGCCCCGCAGCCCCACCAGCTTCTGGCACGGCGGCTTGTGCTCTACCCATGAGTTCGGAGACGGAAGTGCCTTTT